ATAAGCCAATAACACACACACACACCCCCAAAAAAGAGCCACGTTTTAAAAGGGTATGGAATGTCGACCAAATCAACCAAAGGCCTGGTTAAGAAGGAATGTTTTTGCCTGGCACCTAAAGGTGTATAATGAAGGTGACAGGCAAACTTCCCTGGGGAGAGCATTCCTCAGGCAGGGAACCACCGCTGAGAAGGCCCTGTTCTCGAATTGCCACCCTCCAGACTTCTCGAGAAGGAGGCACACGAAGGAGGGCCTCAGAGGATGATCTCAGGGTCTGGGTAGGTTCATATGGAAAGAGGCGGTCCTTGAGGTATTGCGGTCCTGAGCCATTTAAGGCTTTATAGGTCAAAAACCAGCACTTTGAATTGGGCCCAGAAACTAATTGGTAGCCAGTGCAGTTGGACCAGGATCAGTGCAATATGCTCAAACCATCTTGCTCCGGTGAGCAACCCGGCCACTGAATTCTGCACTAGCTGAAGTTTCCAAAGCGTCTTCAGAGGCAGCCCTACGTATAACGCATTGTAGTAATCTAACCTTGAGGTTACCAGAGCATAGACAACAGTAGTTAGGCTATCCCTGTCCAGATAGGGGCGTAGCTGGACCACCAGCCGAAGCTGGTGGAAGACACTCTGGGCCACTGAGGCCACCTGAGCCTTGAATGACAGCAAAGGATACAGGAGGACACCCAAGCTGGTCAGCTGGACCAAAAAAGTTACCTACCCTTATATAAAAGAGGCCTTATCATTTCCACGGCCCCGTTTTTCATTTTTTTCACATCGCCCCAACTGCTAGCCTCACCGTAACCTGTAATTGACACCACCATACACTTATTCTTCTCCCTCCTATCTTCACCCTGTGCAAACTACAGTCTCATGCTATTGAAATAAGATAACTGCTCTAAAGTTCTTCTATATAGAGCAAAGCCTACTTGGTATAGGGAATCCTCTTGTACTCCTTCCTGTCTTGGATCATTCAACTGGTGGAGGCAGTCCAAGCCCTGGTGTTACTTCAATGAGAAACAGGCACCTGCAGTTCAGAGGTGAGCCACACGAGGGAGCGACATACAGATAGTGAAATGGGAGAAGAAGAAGAAGAAGAAGAAGAAGAAGAAGAAGAAGAAGAAGAAGAAGAGGAGGAGGAGGAGGAGGAGGAGGAGGAGGAGGAGGAGGAGGAGGAGGAGGAGGAGGAGTTTGGATATGATATCCCGCTTTACGAATCCACCGCTCTTAACCACTATACCACACTGGCTCTATATAGCAGCTGTATCACAAAGAAATGTGTGGAAGCAAAACAATGAAAACTAAATAGGACAAGATCTGATGATTTGCTCAAGGATCTTCGGCATGCCCAGTGGAAATCAAGAGGCAATTCAAAAGTAAACTCTCCCACACTTGATTCATAGTTTTGCCTGCCTAGGAGGGATATGGGGACTCCACTCACCAGATGCTGGAAGTTATCAGCTTAAATTAAGTCCATTCATAAGCATTACCACCTACAGCCATGGAGGAAGAGCTAGTATTATAGCTAGTAGCCATTTGTTAAAACCAGGAATGGGGGGGCAGTTAAACGACTCCCCCAAAATCCCAAGTCCCCACCACAGCCTCTAAAGTCCAGGACAATGACCGTTGACACAGGCACCGTACATACACAACAGCAAAGAGGCTCAGAAAAGCAGTCTATAAAATTGTAGCAATAAGCGGATACTATTGATCATACTGTTTCCTCTGGCTATCCAATATAGAATCAAAATAATCGCCAAAATTCAATGGTTTGATGGATTTCCTTATTTCCAGCAGCTAATGACTCCTCTGGAAGAGGGGAATCCAGGGCTTCCTCTGCTGCCATAATCCCTTAAGCCAGCCTTTCTCAACCTGTGGGTCCCCAGATGTTGTTAAACTACAACTCCCATCACCCCTAGCTAGCAAGGCCAGAGCTCAGGGATGATAGGAGTTGTAGTCCAACAACATCTGGGGACCCACAAGTTGAGAACTGCTGCGCTTAAGCATAAGGTCACATAGTACTTGCTCCTCCACAAGGTGTGAACTTAGCCACACAATAGGAGGCAGGAGGCAATCAAGGGCAGCACATACACCAGACAGAAATCCATCAGGATGGTGGTTGAATCCTGATACAGTGGTACCTCGGGTTACAAACACTTCGGGTTACAGGCTCCGCTAACCTGGAAGTAGTACCTTGGGTTAAGAACTTTGCCCCAGGATGAGAAGAGAAATCATGTGGCAGCGGTGGGAGGCCCCATTAGCTAAAGTGGTACCTCAGGTTAAGAATGGTTTCAGGTTAAGAACAGACCTCCAGAATGAATTAAGTTCTTAACCAGAGGTACTACTGTACTACTACTGTAGCTAGGGGGATTTGTAAATACTCTTATTGTTCTTTGGGGAAGAGGGTAGTTAAAAGGTGTCAGGAACTGAGGTTATTGACAGGGGTGGGTGATGGACTCACATTTCTACATGCCAAACATTCCTACTTCGTGATATATTTGTGATGTATTGATGATGCTGTTGAAAAAGGTATTGTGGGAAATGGGGAGAGGTCTTAAAAGTCCAAGCAACCCCATGCCTGGGGTTCCTACTCTTTGTGTGTTTGAACCTTGTTGCAACAAATGAAGATCAGGTCTACTGACCGCTGTTTGCTTCTTTCACTTGGCTGGAAACTCCTTCTTTTGCTAACCAGAGAGACCCACAGGGAGTGGCACCCCAACGAGCTGGGCAGTGGAGTAAATCCCCAGGATTTCTTGATTATGTTGATAGCCCTTTCCCCCATGATTTTATCTACTCTTCTTTCAAAGACATCCAAATTAGTGGCCATCCCTCCGTCTTGTGGGAGTGAGTTCCATAGTTCAACATTGTACTGTATGCAAATGACCCTGAGCCAACTGGACCAACGATATGGCTCAGCGGAAGGCAGATAACTATGTTCTGGAGCTCAGGGAGGCCTTGCTGCTCAAGGAAAGGACCCAAGAAATGCTCTTGTAGACCCTTCCTGCCCAGCAGAAGCCCAAGGCCAGACTGGACTTAGTTGGTCCAGGAGATCCTTCGCTGAGGAGCTGTAATGATACTGCTTTTCCACACGAAGCAGTATTTAGCCATTCTGGATACCATACTTAGAAGTTACAGTGATGCTTTTCACCACATGGGACAACAATCACCCATTCCTGCCACATGCAAATATGCAACCACTTTTATCTCCTTGCATTTAGATGTTCTGTACATGACATAACCTTCCAATTGACTTCCAGGTTTGCCGTAGGTGCAATTAGGTCACAACTGAAGGAAGCATCGAACGACTGAGGTTGTTTTTGTTTGTTTTTGTTTTTTTCGTGTTGGATTTTCTCAAAATGTATGCTGTTTCACTAGAGGTTTCCACCCCACCCCAAACACCAGTCACTTTTCAGGGACCACCAACTATTTTATGCTGATGGGCACATTTTGATTTTTGTATAAGTGCTGTGGATGCCACTAAATCTGGTTACTTCCCCCCATTCTCCATGAAATCATTCCCTCCCAAAGAAGAGGGGGCTGGGGAGGGAGTCAACACTTCATGCTTCTATGAGATCTGGATAAATTCAGACCCAAATGCATTAATCTCAGTCTTGTGAAGCACATGGAGCTGGAAAGGATGAGTGGGGAAAGCTCTCTCTTCCAACTTCCTCCTTCAGCTATATGTGCAGTGGCACCTCTGGTTACAGACGCTTCAGGTTACAGACTCCGCTAACCCAGAAATAGTACAGTGGTACCTCGCAAGACGAATGCCTCACAAGACGAAAAACGTGCAAGACGAAAGAGTTTTCCGTTTTTTGAGTCATTCCGCAAGACGAATTTCCCTATGGGCTTGCTTCGCAAGACGAAACGTCTTGCGAGTTCTTGCGAGTTTGTTTCCTTTTTCTTAAAGCCGCTAAGCCGCTAAGCCGTTAATAGCCGCTAAGCTGCTAAGCCGTTAATAGCCGCTAAGCCGCTAAGCCGCTAATAGCCATGCTTCGCAAGACGAAAAAACCGCAAGACAAAGAGACTTGCGGAACGGATTAATTTCGTCTTGCGAGGCACCACTGTACCTCAGTTTAAGAACTTTGCTTCAGGATGAGAACAGAAATCGCATGGTGGTGGCGCGGCAGCAGCAGGAGGCCCCATTAGCTAAAGTGGTGCTTCAGGTTAAGAACAGTTTCAGGTTAAGAACAGACCTCCGGAATGAATTAAGTTCTTAACCCAAGGTACTACTATACTTTTCCAGGGGAAAAAAGGGTAACAACACAGACCACCACAAGGGGGTAGTGAAGAGAATTATATAAACTTTATGGGTGCCAGGAAAGTTCTCAAGGGTGCATTGTTCCCAACGATTTAGGTCGCGACCAATATAGGTCACCGTTCATCAAAGGGTAGCCTCCACAGTAACTCGTGTTTAAGGGAAGAAAAGTGTCTAAATGCCAAAGAAGAACAGGAGACCAGAGTTATGATGCAGAGTAAGTTGTATTAGGAATGGGGAAAAGATATTTGAGTGAACAAATACAAACACTCAAGAAGTTGGATATTTTTGAAAAGGACAAATCTGAAGAAATATACATGAATCGTTTCTGGATTACAAATCCCTTCCCAGAAAGAGATCAGTTATATTGTTGGCAATTATAAAAACTCTCCCTGCCATTTTCACAGATGTACCAAACTGACTGGGAATAAATTCCAGGGGCCAAGTTCCTTGTCCATAGTTTGTCTGTTCTTTGCTATGCTAGAGGCGCGCAAAAGAGCTGTACAGATAATAAATAAAAGCCAGGGGAGGGGAAAGCACATAAACAGTGGGATAGAGGGGGGTTATGTTAAGATGAGAAATGGATGCATGAAAGATGGCCATGGGTCTTATTTTCAGGCTTGCTTGGCGCCCTCATTGCCCAATGGCTTCATCAGGAATTGAGGATCCTCAGAATATCTTAAACCCAGGCTTGAATGCTTTGCAGTGGATATTCTTTTCCCTAATAAACCTTCCATATTTACTTAGCAGGGGCGGTAACAGATGCTTCCTCTGTCTCCAACGAATCCATAGCGACTCCCAAGTCCAAAACGAGATCCTCTAAGACCACCAGCTCCAAGGGCACCGGCTCCAAGAGAACCAGCTCCTAGGAACCCACTGCCCAAACCACCAGGGGAGCATGGAGCGTTTCCTCCCACAGCCACGGGCTCACAGCTGGCAGAGAGGATGGGTCCTGGGATGGTCACGATGCAGGCTGGTGGCTGGATCACGACCTCTGATGGTGGGATCTGGTTGATGCATGAAGGGGCGACACCAGAAAGAATACCAAGACTAGCAGAAGGGATGCCGGATCCAACCAGGGCACCGGAGCCATAGCCGTAGGTGTCGCCAAGGCCAAGGCCACCAAGGCCTCCAAGGCCTCCAAGACCTGCTGATCCAAAACCGACGACTGGGGTGGAGGCACAAGATGGGACAGCACAGGATGGTCCACAGTTTGCCATGGCTGAGTGTTGGAGGTGAGTCTGAAAGGACACAGGAGGGAGCAGAAAGATTATTATAGGTAAGGAGTGCTACAATGCATTAAAGCCTAAGTTAGGTTACCCAATGGCCCATCTAGTGCAGCATTATCTTCTCACTGTGGTCTTCCTGATGTGGCAATGGGAGCTTTGTAAGTAGAACACAAGCACAAGAGCACCCCCCCCTCCGCTATTCAGAAGCATTACTGTATTTGGCCATGGAGGCACAGCAAAGGTGTCATGCCTAGTATCCATTGAAGGTCTGAAAGGACACAGGAAGGAGCATAAACAATATTGAAGGCAAGAAGAGCTGCAGTGTTCCAGGGTGACAGGAGATATTTAGCCTCACCTCCCCCACCACCATTACAGTGTAAAAAATCATGTGTTTTTTAGTGCCATAAAATGGTGGTTGGCACCTTTACAGAGGTGAGAATGTCCCTAAGTTGATCTGTTGCTGAACTGCTGCTCTCATTCATCCCTTTTTGCTGGCCTTGCTGATGAGAGTTGGAGGCTGATAGAAAATATGAGCTTGAGAGCTGGAGGCTGATGGGTATCTGGAAGACCACAGCTCTCCTCCTTCTACTCTATTACAATTTGGAGAGTTTCAGGTTGACCAAGGCTGTCCTAGCTAGTACAGAAATGCTCTAAATATTTTTTATGTCACTTGCTAGTGAAGTCATCATAATCAATTGTCTACATTCTCCAGGCTAAAGCATAAGCGGCTTCCAGGACAAGGAAGACTAAGGCATTCCCAAATTCAATGTTGTCCCCTCCAGAGTTTGCCGGATTCCTACCTGCATGGCCATTGGTCAGGAATGATGCAAGCTGCAGCTCAACAGACTTTGTGAACTCCAACTCCTATCATCCACACCCATAATGGCCAATGGCCAGGGCTGACGGAAGCTGTAGTCCACATGTGAACCTAGTAAATGCCAGCTGAATCAGTCCTTCACCCTATTATCACAGTGTTGAACCAGATGCCTTTTGGAAACCTTCAAGTAGGGTCTAAGAGCATCCACAACACTTCCCTCTCGTTGCTTCTGGTCATTGCCATTTGGAAGTACTACTCCTCTAACAGTGGAGGTAGAACATAACCAATGAACATGGTCAACATGGCCTAGCTCATTGGTTGCATTGCTGAACTTCTTCACACTCTACCCAAATTAAGCTCCTGAAATTTAAGGCGGTTAAAGCTACCAAGATGACTTGGGCAAGCCAAGCTTACCTGTTCCTTTGAGGAATGGAAAGGCAGGAGAAGCTGATCAGTGAAGCTGTTGGAGGACTCTGGATGGATGAGGGCTTTTTATACTGTGTCAGTGGCATCCTTGACAGCCCAGTGACATCACTTTGTTCTCAAGTTCCACCCTCAAGAACTGCTGATTCCATCATGTGCAAAATTACTTTAATAATTCCAGTGATGTCAGGGCCAAGTATTATGCTCTCCTCAGCATATTACAATGAATCACCCAGATTGCATTTTCATGTTCTCTATTTCGCTCTGTGAGAATTTTCATTACATTTGCAGAACCCCTTACTTCTGTTATCCCCAAAATGGGAAACTGGTGTGGCCCTCCAGAATGTGGTTGGACTCCAGGTCTTAGAATCATAGTTGAAAGGGATCCCCAAGGGTCATCTAGTCCAACCCCTGTAATGCAGGACTTTCAGCTAAAGCATCCATGACAGATGGCCATCCAACATCTGCTTGAAAACCTCCAAGGAAGGAGAACCCACAACCTCCCAAGAGAGATGGTTCCACTGTTGAACAGCTATTGCTGTCAGAAAGTTTTTCCATATGTTTAGTCAGAATCTCCTTTCTTGTAACTTGAGGCCATTGGTTCGAGTCCCACCCTCCAGAAAACAAGTTTGTTCCCTCTTCCATGTGACAGCCCTTGAGATATTTGAAGATGGCTATCATATCTCCTCTCAGTCTCTTCTTTTCCAGGCTAAATATACCCAGCTCCTTCAACCGTTCTTCATAAGGCTTGGTTTCCAGATCCTAGAAACCATTTCTGGAAATCATCCCTGACCATAGGGCATGTGGCATTCTAAACCAGATGTAGCAGAAATGATGCTCTACCATTGTCTCTGATCATTGGCTCTGCTGCCTGTGGACTAAAGAGAGATGCAGTTCAGAAGCAACCGGAGGGCCGAAGGTTAGCAAATTTTGTACTTAAGGGCTTGCCGATGGGAAGGTCAGTGATTCGAATCCCTGTTACGGGGTGAGTTCCCATTGCTCAGTCCCTGCTCCTGCCAACCTAGCAGTTCAAAAGCATGTCAAAGTACAAGTAGATAAATAGGTACCACTCCGGCGGGAAGGTAAACAGAGTTTCCGTGCACTGCTCTGGTTTGCCAGAAGTGGCTTAGTCCTGCTGGCCACATGACCCGGAAGCTGTACGCCAGCTCCCTCGGTCAATAATGCAACATGAGCACCGCAACCCCAGAGTCGTCTTCGACTGGACCTAATGGTCAGGGGTCCCTTTACCTTTACCTATAGGACTGAACAAAAAGGACTGTAAAATATAAAGTGCTCGTTGTTCTTGCCTGTGATGTTACCGAAGGGAGGAGAGGGTTCTCCACGCCTGACACCCACTTCCCAATAGCCACTACGAGTTGCTCAAGTGAGGAGGCCACCAGCAGCAGCAGCAGCCATAGACAGGCAATAGGATGCTCCCTCACAGTCACCACTGCCATTGCCCCTACTCGGAACAAGCACTGGTTCATCCTCCTGCCCAAGCTTGGCAGAGAAAATAAGTACATTCTGGGATCAATCAGAAGCCGAGATGGCTTTTGCAATTCTGGGACTGTCCCTGGAAAATAGGGACACTTGCAGGGGGCAGGCGAATGAGCCTGCATTTTGACTCCTAATCTAGATGGCTTTCCTTGGGGCCAGTGTAGGACTACATCTCAAAGGCCAGAGAGCTACAATTTGCAATAAATCCCTCTGCACAGGGATCACTGGGAGTTGTAGAATTGTGAGGGGAATGGAAGGGGTCTCCGAACAACATTCAGCCTAACAGCAAACAACCTTAAACAAACTACAGCTCCCAGAATTCTTTGCCAGATGTCATGTCTGTTTAAAGTGGTATCATAGAGCTTTAAATACAGTGGTACCTTGGGATGTGAACGGGATCCATTCCAGAGCCCCATTTGCATCCTGAACAGAACATAAGATATGATGACGCATCTGAGCATGTGCAGGTCACGTTTTGCCGCTTCCGTGCATGCGCGTGACATAATTTTGAGCGTCTGCGCATGCGTGAGCAGCAAAACCCAGAAGTAGCATGCTCAACCTGAAGCACATTCAACCCGAGGTATGGCTGTACATGGCATTAATTTGGCCAGGGAGAAAGATGTCTCTCAATACAATCTCTCAACACCATGTGTCATTTCACTCATGTCCCATCTGCCCCCTCTCCTTTTATTCACTTTTAGTTTTTCTAAACTAAAAAGTATCAAGAAATACAAATGTTCCCAGTAAAGGGAGTTGTTGCAGTCCCCTGATCATTTTGGTTGCCTGCTTTCTGCACTTTCCCCCAGTTCAAGAATCTCGTTTTTGAAATTCTTTCTTTTTTATAATAATATTCTATTCATCTTCTTTTTTCAAACAGAGCTGTACACAAATGAATACGTCGCTTTCTTCAAAGAAGGGGGGTAAATAAGTCATTGGCTGAAGACACTAATCCAAGTGTTAATTAAACTCTACAAATATGCTACAAGGACTCTTCCAGGAAATTAGGCCTTTATTTTGTGGTTTGCTAAAGTAAATCTATATAATATGGTAATATCTGTCCTGTCACCAGAAAGGCTGGTGGAAGTGTCAGCCTGGGAGTCCATAACATGAGCTTAGGCTGGCAGACATGTTCTTATTAAATTCCAACCTGGCATTTAGTTCCTGGCATGAACATCCCAGAAGACGTCTGCTTTGATGGGCACTTTGATCTTGGAAAATGGCTCCGAAAAATGCCAAGCTTCTGAGGCAACAAATATCCTGTGTTTGTTTGTTTGATTTGTTGTTTTGAGAAACCCCAAAGAAGGGCAAAGAATGCTTAGCCAGATGCAGAGATGGCTGGATCATTCCCAGTTCCCATCAGTTATCAAAGTGGGCCTTAAAAAGACCACTGGTGGGCGGAAACCTGCCAAAAATGCCTATTTATAAACCAGGTTTAACAAATATTCTGGGCCTTAGAAGCTGCCTTTTACCCTTTACCGATTATTATTATTATTATTATTATTATTATTATTATTATTATTATTATTTGAATTCATGTACCGTCCTATACCTAGAGGTCTCAGGGTGGTTCACAGAAAAGATCAACATAAAAACCACAATATATATATATAATCAAAATAAAAGCAACAACCCAATAACAACTCCCTCCCCAAAAGAAACACATTTTAAAAGAGCAGAGGGTGTTAATCAAATCAACCAAAGGCCTGGTTTAAAAGGAACATTTTTGCCTAGTGCCTAAAGGTGTATAATGAAGGTGCCAGGCAAACTTCCCTGGGGAGAGCATTCCACAAACAGGGAGCCACTGCAGAGAAGGCCTGTTCTTGTGTTGCCATCCTCCGGACTTCTCAAGGAGGAGGCAAACGAAGAAGGGCCTCAGAAGATGATCTCAGGGTCCGGGTAGGTTCAAACGGAAAGAGGTGGTCCTGAGCTGTTTAAGGCTTTATAGGTCAAAGCACTTTGAATTGGGCCCGGAAACTAATTGGTAGCCACTGCAGTTGGACCAGGATCGGTGCAATATGCTCAAACCGTCTTGCTCCGGTGAACAACCTATTTGCTGAATTCTGCACTAGCGGAAGTTTCCGAACCATCTTCAGAGGCAGCCCAAGCATAATGCATTGCAGTAATCTAACCGTGAGGTTACCAGAGTACAGTGGTACCTTGGGTTACATATGCTTCAGGTTACATACGCTTCAGGTTACAGACTCCACTAACCCAGAAATAGTACCTCGGGTTAAGAACTTTGCTTCAGGATGAAAACAGAAATCGTGCTCCGGCGGCGCAGCGGCAGTGGGAGGCCCCATTAGCTAAAGTGGTGCTTCAGGTTAAGAACAGTTTCAGGTTAAGAACGCACCTCCGGAACGAATTAAGTATGTAACCAGAGGTACCACTGTATAGAAAACAGTAGTTAGGCAATCCCTGTCCAGATAGGGGCACAGCTGGGACACCAGCCAAAGGTGATGGCCACCTGAGTCTCGAGCGACAGCAAAAGATCCAGGAGTAACACCAAGCAATGTTTTGTGGAGTCATATAAGCAGTGCTTTCCCCAGAGTTTTTTAGGGAGGACAGAGCTGCCGGTGGGGTTGGAGGAGGCGGGCAGTGGCTGGAGGGCGGCTTCTCTGGCAGAGAAGAGGCAGAGGCTGTACATGGCACTTCTCGGCTCAGCTGGCCACTGTGCCTCCCGGCATCAGCTCGCCGCCCTCGCCCGCCTCTGTCATGCTGCGCCAAAGCAGCGCCACCCCCGGAGCCTCCTCCTGCCGTGGCCACCACGGCACGAAGCAGCTAGCTGAGCCGGGAGGTGCCGCGTACAGCCTCTGCCTCTTCCCCACCGGAGGAGCCGTCCTCCAGCCACTGCCCGCCTCCTCCCACCCCACCGGCAGCGCTGTCCTCCCTAAAAAACTCTGGGGGATGGGGCTAGGCACCGGAGGGAGCTTTGCACCATGGCACTGGATATGCTTAAGACGGCCCTGACCAGAGGTAACGTATCCTCGATTCTGACCAAACTACAGCAAGTCTCCTGATGTTCAAGGAGGCTTCTCCATATGAACCAGGAAGTGACCTATGTTGTTAATCCATTAACCAGTGTGAGACCTGGATGAAGGATTGATTATGTGTCTTTGGCCCAGGGCTCTTGGGTTATGACGATCAATGGCATGTATCAAGTGATGCCTCCACATGAGGGCTCTTTGCGAAGCTTCTCTTTTTGCCTTTGATGTAAAATGAAGTTGGTGGAACATTATCCCAGTGGGGAGAAGGGAGATCAGCATGTTGGAATGTGCAGTGCAGTTATTGTGAGAATCCAGCAACAGCTTCATTAAATACAATTTGCTCATACTCTTTATGGCTATTATTAAAGTAATTTGGTGTGTGATGCTGATGAGGCAATTTGTTGGCAGCTAATTAAGACTTTGGGCAGGAGGGGAAAGATCCTGTGTCCCAAAACCACAGACCTGTGAGGCTTAGAGTATATAAGCCCATGACATGGAGAGCTTTTCCATCAGTTCCACCAGAGCTTCAGACATCTCTCAG